TGCGTGCCCCGCAGGGCTGGGATCTTGCTGCTGCCCTTCATCCCCCTGGCCCGGGAGCCCGGCGAGGGTGCTGGGGCAGCCCGGGGCTTCGGCTCCTGCCCGGGACCTGCTCCTTGTCACATGCTTCTTATTTATTTTTGCAAACTGCCCTGGCCCGGGTCCAGCTGCAGCCGCCTCACCTGCCATGCTGTGCCTGTGTGTGCCATCTTGCATTTATTAATAAAACATGCGAGCTGGAGGGGGTGCTGGGGGAACCCCACTGCAGTATGGCAGGCGGGCGCCTATTTTCGGTCTTAAGACGTGGTGTCGAGGTGGAAATCCCACACCCTGGGGATTTGTGGCTTGCTTGGTCGTGACGGCGTCCGAGTGGGCTTCCCCGCTGGTCGGGAGGCACCCAGTGGCAGAATGACTGTCTGGAAAGGATGGGTTTTCACCGTCAGGCCAGGATCCCGGTGGGGACAGTTAGGACAGTCCTCTGCCTGCTAACTTGCCAGAGCGGCTGAAACCGGCACTAACTGTCTCTTTCCATTGCCGGGGGCAGGCCTCGAACAGAATCTCTGAGGCTCCAACTCGTCCGGCTTTGCATCTGAAGACAGCTAAAGCTCGTCACCTGTTGGAAGCCAGACCCCAGGAAACCCCCTAATCTAGCCCACCAATCCCGGTTCCGCGGTCAGCGAGACGGGTAGCCACAGGCCCGGACGGTTCCTCTGTCCTTTAATGCTGCTGGCTGTTTCTTTTCAAATAAAACCGAGCTACGATCCGATGCCTCATGTTAATAGCATGCAGTTCCATGATCCGCTGTATTCCACATCCCAAAGACGGCTTTCTCTTCAGTCCGTGTGTGTCGCCTAGTCCCCGGCTGTTTACCTGGCTCTGGGCGGCAGTTAGAAAAGTGGGTGTATTTAACTGCTTACTCCCCCCCTCCCTGAAATAGTATGGCGAAAGAATAGTAGGAGCCACCATCGACGACGTGGCGTGGCCTGTACTCACAGCTCCTAGGAAGGCTGAGCCAGGAAAGTCATGAGTTCAAGGCCAGCCTGGACAAGATAGCGAGACCCTGTCTCTGGGGGAATAAAGAAAAGACAGAAGGTAAGATAGGAGCTAGAAATAGAAGGAATGAAAGTGGTTACGAGATATTGGAATATGACGGCTGGGCTGCAGGTGCTTCCAAACTATGTCGGCGTGCCACGTCTGATCATGAGAGGGACACGTCTTACATGCTGACACGGGGCCCAGGTCTACACCGAAGGCTTCCTGTCCGTGACCTCACTCACTCCTGGATAACAAACTCATCTCCACGCTGAACGTGAAGAAGCGAAGACTCAGAGAGGTTAACAGTTTGCCCAAGGTCACACAGTCTGGGGGAGGGGGAGGCTGCAACTTGGTGCATCTGGCTCCCGGGGGTGGGGGCATCGGGGGTGCCCTAGTCCCAGTGCTGCTGCTCCAAGTTCACCCACGAGCATGTTGGCTGGGATCCGGTTTCCCCGCACATAGATCCCACCACAACCTCGTGGCTCTCCAGAAAGAAAAAACGTTTCCAAATGAATCCACGTAGTGTTCTGAGGTGCCTCGGAGCCTCAAAATCAAGTGGGGTCCGAGAGCTGCTTCCATCACCCTCTCCCACACCAACGGCTAAGTTCGAACGAGTCGTTCTGGGGTCGATTTGAACGTGTGACCCGAGCACGCGTGGGGCAGGACGGGTCGCTCCTGTCCCCTCTCTGCCCAGCCGCTCTGCACACTGCCTTGTGGTCACAGCGCCGGTCGCCAGAGCAGCACCGTCTTCTCACGCTGACGCGCGCTCAGCTCCACGGACGCGTCCATGCAGGCTGTCGGCCTTAACCAGCCTCTCTACGACTGGATCGGTTATTCAGTCAGCATTCTCGGAATCCGGGCGTTCCGCAATGGACGCGTGTTTGTTTGTGCAAGTGCATTCTTATCAGGCAGGTGCTACGTTTTGTTACACACCCCTAGCAGGTCTCGTGGGCTTGTATTAATAGAAAACCCACTCTTTTTTTTTTTTAATTTTTATGTTTCTGGTCATCATTTTTTTTTTTATAAGATACACAGTGTTATTTTTTTCTTTGCGTTACCATGTGCTTTTAATACTCACTCAGTGGAGCATTGAAGGGTAGGAAAGGAACAGGTAAATGTGAGGGCTTACGTGAACGGTCTATCCATGGGCATTGCCGGTTCGGATTATGAAGTGGTGAGCGCTATCGGGTAGGGAACGTAAGACCGTGTCTCGTCAATTCCGTACGCTCCGCTCCGTTTCCCTCCTCGGGCAGTTTCCCTGTTTAGAGAGCCGGGATGTTACCTTTCCATGAGACGGTGTCCTGCTGACAGTAAAGCAATTTGTATAAGTCTCGCCTCGTGGAAAACACTCACTTTTGGAAGAATGCACTCCCGGGGCTTGTGGGAATGCTGAGATGGAACCTTTCTGCCCCGGGGACTTCCAGCCTCTGATCAGATAAACTCAGAGGCGTTCGGATGGAGAGGTGCCGCCTGGTTTCTGGGGAGGAGAAGTGTTTTCCTATGGGGGGGGGGGTGGTCACTACCTCCTTCCGTTCAAAGTCTCAGAGTTGACAAGCCTTTGAGAAATGTGCGGCCAACTGTCTTCTATTCGAGCAGGATCTCACTTCATGCAAAGCTGCGCATCCTTTTTGATTTGGGTTTTTTTAAGAGACATTGTTGCTACAGGGCACCTGTGCTCGCTGGAGAGACA